ACCTATCTCACCCTCTTAAAATAAGTTTTCAGGTTCCCTGACTCCCAGCACAGAAAAAGAATTTTCAGCATTCATCAGAAAGAGGCATGAGTAGGATTTATTAGATAGAGATTTTGGGATGAACCCAAGAAGAGGGTGAGGGTACTCAGAGAAGTGAGATACACCACCAAGCTAAAGTAGGGCACATTTAAGCGGGTGTCTTGAAGGTAGGTGATAGGATGTGTGTTTTCACTGTCTCTCAGGTTACATTAGAAGCCCTCTATATGTGTGAAGTCCAGAAACACTGTCTAAAATTGCCAACACTGCTGCTTCCTGAGCTGGAGGAATGGGGGATTTGCAGGTGAAAAGGACTGGGAGTTTACAGGCTACACTAAGAGGACCTTTAGGAACTTAACACTATTTCCTGTAGAAGGAGCATCACAAGCTCGGCTGACCTCCAGAAGCAGGAGAAAAAAATTTTGTCTTAAAGCTGTTTTTCTTAAAAGCATAATTTCAAAGTCTCAAGTTTCTTGCCTCCTTTTAACCTATTATTTTATTTCTTTTATCTTACCACAATAGAACATTCAATCAGGGTAGGAAGTTCTCTTGAGCCAGGGCTTAGAGAAATGGAGAAGCAAGTCAGGCTTCCTGACAAATGTTGGAGCAAGAGCCACAACTCGGTGAGGGAGTGTGAAACACCTTCCCATTCTAATGAGCATCAGAAACAACCAGCACCAGAATTTTTATAAAACTGGTGGTAACACTCAGCCAACTGTGTGCTCTATTAAGGATTCCACTGACAGAGTCAAATTGGACTTCCCCTTCACCCCCAGTGCTGACCCACATAGATCAGAGGCCAATAGGGTTGTAAAGTCTCAATGGAGATTCAACAAAGAGGGCACAAAAGGAACCAAGACACCCAGAAAAAATTTTTATTGTCTTTTCCCCTCCCCTCCTTAAACTAAGGAGAAGAGAAATGGACAAAGGATAAGAGAAGAGAGGTTGGTCCTGGGACCCGAAGATTCCTAGGGACGGAGCTCTAAAGAACCAGGGAGCTTACTTTCTCTTCTTCAGGCCAGGAACTTTCTCTAGGAGATGAGAACACAGGCAGGGAACATAGCAGAGGACATAGAAAAGGTAGAAAGGAGATGAGAGGTCAGGACTCTGAGGAATCTGGGCCCTGGACACCGTCATGTCCATCACTGAGGATCTGAAAACCAGATGTTCTGGAGGAGCCACATCTCTGCCCTTGACTTCTGCAGAAGTGGTTCCTGTGACCCCATCCCTGTTCTCCCCAGACCTTCACTGCACCCCAGGGTTCAGGGCAGAACAGCATGGGGGGAAGTTTTGATGGTGACTTCCTTTTCAATGGCTATACCCAGATTTAAAAACAGAAACTGTAATAGCCTTATACAAATAAGCAGTTCTTGTCTAAATAGGACCAATCTTTTGGAGTCACATAGGATTTCTTCTGCAGGCTTCTGTTCTTTGGTAGTCACTTCCCACAGTGGTACACTAGAACCCTCTCTGTTGGTGCTGGGCTCCTAGGACCAGGGCCTTGCCTTAAGACCATGGGTGTCCATTCTGAGCCTTGGTCACCTTATATTCTGGATCTTCTGAGAAGCGGTGTGGCTTCTGGTGAAAGTGAGAGCAGAGGAAGGGTGAGAGCTGTGAGCAGATTCTTGGGCATTTCCTGGGTAGAGAGCAGGTGCTGTGCTGTCAGGAAACCCTCTCTCCACCCTCACCACACTCTCTCCTGCTCCAACCTCCACCTAGAAGACCCTAGCCTGGGTCTGTCAGAAAGACACCCCCTACCTGCTGCCAGTCCTCTCAGAGTTCCCACTTCCTGGACTGTGAGTGAAGCAACTCCAGTGGAGTCAATTCAGGAGTGAAACTACGGGGAGAGGTGGAGCCAGAGATTCAGGACCAATGAGAGGATTTTGTTCTGAAAGGAAGGGAGAATACAGTGAAAACAGCCTCCTTTCAAGCAGCAAACACAAGGACACAGCAACAACCCAGGAAAATCCCTGTGACCCAGCACAGGCCTGCAGGACAAAATGGAAGCAAGAGAAAAGCTGTACCTTTGGGCAAAAAAGCTGAGAGGAGATTAAATGGGGAGAAGGTCACTAGAGGCCCCTGAAAGAGCCCTGGACCAAGTGTCTCTCTGAGAAGAGTCGGCCCAAGCAGTCCTTGAGCACCTTCCTTGGACTCCTTCAGGCTTCCTTCTCACTCACTTTTCCCTGACCATATGCTCACACCTATGCCCCTCCCTCAATTCCTGACCCCTTCCACATATCTCTATTTTCTTTCCAGGGCATGTTTCACTGAATATTGTTTTTGTTTATGTGGTTTAGTCTCTGCTTCTTCTATGAGCATAACATTCCACAAGGGCAAAGGTCTGTAAGAACATTGTTCACTGAGGGTCCCCAGATTTCTAAGATAGCTTCAGGCGTAGTTATGTGGGTTAAGTGAATGACTCTCTGACTTGCAATAAACATGTGTCTTAGGAGATATGTTCACGTCTGCCTAGCGGTATGTGGTATGAGTGGTATGTGGCTTTGTGCTAATATGTCCTGGACTGCATGTGCATGCATGTTGGGAAGGCAGATGTATTAACATGGCCAACATTATCGGAAAGCACCAGATGTGTGGTGGTTATTGATTTCCAGACTGTCTCTTCTCTTAGTCCTGCAGGACATAATGATGGACTGATGGACTAGACAGGAGCAGATGAAAATGGAAGCAATAGAAAAGCTGTACCTCTAGGAAAGAAGGCTGAAAGGAGATTTAGTAACATCAAAGTGTGAGATAATTGGGAGAACAAACTTTCAGGATGACCAAAGGGAGGAATGTAAGAACCACTCAGAGGCAGGAGGAAGAACATAGGAATAAAGAGAATAACATTAGGTGGAAACTAACTGGAAATATTCATAATGATGGCCCTGGCAAACCACTTCACCAGAGGAAGTCTCAGCGTCCACTGGAAATAATTTGTACATAAATGTCATGAGATAATGAAAGGCAGTTTTTCAATCTCCCTGGATGAGTGATTCACTGACAACAGCTCTAAGGTTGACCTGAGACTGAAGGTGAATAGTTTCCTAGGGTGGGCCCAGAAGCAGTTAGCAATAATGTGCCTAAAGGCAGTTAGATTTTATTGAACACTTGTTCCATGCCAGGGCAATGCTGATATCATGACTTGTCAGTGTTCCTCTCCCAAATAAACACTGTGCAATGCATAATGAAAATTCACTAGAGATTTCAAAGGCAAATTTGAGCAGCATACAGAAAAGAACAGTGTCCTGGAAAATAGGTCAGGGGAGATTCACTACTAAGAAGAAAGGAAGTAGAAAGAGTGAAGAGAAAGCAGTAAAGGCTTAGGGATCTGTGGGACACATATTCCACCATATGCACACTGGGATTCCAGAGGAACAGGAAGCAAAGGAGGAAAAGAAGAATATTTGAAGAAAGAGAAACTAGAAATTTTATAAATTTGTTTAATAGCATTAAGCTGTATCTAGGGAGCTCAACGAATTTCAGCTAGGAAAAACTCACAGAGATCCTCGCCTGGACTTATCTTAAGCAGATGATCAACGATAAAGAATCATGAAGGCAAAAAGAAAGAGGCAGAACTGGACCAGGATTTAGCTCAGTGCTTCTGCCACCGCCTGCCTCATAAGCACAAGGTTCCAAGTTTGATTCCCTGGTATGAAAAAAAAAAAAAAAAAAAAAAAGATTACTGACCTATATTTCCTTTCATCCTGCTCTAATTTCTTGGGAAAAGATAAGAACCTAGATATGTCATGTAAAGGTAAAAGATCCCAATGATGAATGTAACTGCATTGTATATCTAAAATGTACCAATAAAAAATATTTAAAAAAAGAGAAAGAGGCAACTGTTTACATACAAATGGTTCTTGAAATGATTAACAAATGACCTTTTATCAGAAACTACACAGATCAGGGGTCATGAATGGCATACTAAAATTTGACAAAATGAAAAGTCAACCAAAAATTCTTTATCTTTCTAAAAATGAAGAAAGTAACACATTCACTAATAAAAATTAGTCAATCATAACAAGTCTTGCTCTATAAGAAACATTACAAAAAATGTTCCAGGCTGATATAAAAGGACATAAGAAGACAAGAACCTGAATTCACAAGAAGAAATAAAGGTACCAAGAAAGAGTGCTATTTTAGCAAATATAAAAATGGCATAAATGTATTTTGTAATTCACAATTCTTTTTGTTTTTCCTGCTGTCTCCGTTAACACATCACAAAATAAAGTAGTTATAAATTTGTGTTTCTTGGCACTGAATGTATAAGGATATAATTTATATGATAATAACGGAACAAAATAAGAGTGATGAACTATATTGCAGCAATATTTTTAGATGTTACTGAAATTAACTTAGGATTAATCCAAACTAATTCTTGTTGTAATCCTAAAAACAACCACTAAAAAAATAACTCAGGAAAATACACCAAAAAATAAATGAGAAAGTAATTAAAACAGTACTTAAAATATCTTATTTAAAACAAAATAATGCAATAATGAAAAAATAACAAATGATATAAATATGTACATACACATCAGATGTAAATCATACTTTATCAGGAATATGTTAAATGTAGGTACATTGAAAAAGGGATATTGGCAGGATGAATGACCTAACCCTAATGGATATCTACAGAATACTTTACCCAGAAAGAACAGAATTCACATTTGCAAGTATCTCAGGTGCACAGGGAATCCTCTCCAGGCCAAACTACTTATGAGGCCTAAAGAACAAAAACACAAGGAAAATGAGGGTTGTGACCTGGCCCTCTGCAGGCCCGCTGCTCCTCCACAGCCTGTGCTGGGGTCACAGGGAGTTTCCTAGGTTATTAACACGTCCCTTGTTTGCTGCTTTGAAGGAGGATATTTATCTTATGTTTTTCCTCCCTTTAGCAACACAAGCACCCTCATTGGTCCTGATTCATTAGCCCCACCCACCTCAGGATTTTCACTTCTGAATTTACTTGCAAGTTTACTTTTAGATTTCAGGAAGTCAAAACTGCAGAAAGGCAACAGTCAGAAAATGTCTTCCTGATAGGTCCAGGCCAGGGACAGAGCAGAGGCCTGTGCCTGTGAGTTGGTGGGGGTGGAGAGACAGTTTCCTGCCAGCAGGGCCCAACCCTCTACCTCCGGAAATGCTTGAGATTCTGCTCACAGCTCTCTCCCTTTGTCTGCTTTCACCCTTGCCAGAATCCACAGCACATCTCAGAAGATCCAGACTATAAGGTGAGTGAGGTGCAGGGTGGAGACCTGTGATCTTAAAGGAGGGGAGGCCCAGGTGTCCCCAGAAGCTCAGTGCCCCGAACAGAGAAGAGGCCTAGTGTATCCTAGGGAGAAGTGGAGGGTCGAAGAATGGGAGGCTGCAGAAGAAATCCTTTGTGGTCCCAAGAGAACGATCCTGTTATAAGAGGGAAATGGCCCACATGGTAACTTCAGTTGAATTCCTGATTTAAAAAAAAAGCACAGTCCTATCAAAATTCGCTGTACAAACTCCTTCAAAACTGCTTCCCTTCCTCCCTTTAACAATGACATGTATGTCTCCTGGATCAAGTTCCTGGTCTGGGCAAGAAACAGTAAGCTCTTTAGTTGTCCAGAGCTCTCCCCAAAAGTGAGCAGGCTCCAGAACACAATTTCCCTCCCTCAGACTCTCACCAGTTCCCTTTTCCTCAGTTCTGGGAAAGGAAACAAAAAGTGTTTTCAATGCTTTGTTTACTTTTGTCCCCACCTGATTTGTGCCTCCTCTGATGCTTTATGAAATAATGTCCTCTGACTTATGTGGAATGTGAGATTAAGATAGAGTCCAGTTTGATTGTCTAAACAGAATCTTACCTTTCTCTCCTTGCTGAGACAAAATACTAGATACCCAGAGGAAAGGTTTATTTGTCTTGTAAGACCTAAAGTCTCACTTCCACTCCACGGAGCATGAACAGCCAAAAAGCCCTCCACGATGCTGGGCCCTAACACCCAGCGAGGCTCCGGGAGCTCGACGGAGAAACGAGAAACCCAGGAAGAACACACCAAACTAGATGGTAAAGAGACCTTTATTAGTCTGGCCAGACAGCACTCCCGGAGCCAGGTAGCTCAGAGAGGCAACTGCTCAGGGGCTGAGGTACTTTTTATAAAGTTTTTCTAAACAAAGAGTCAGGGAATTCACAGAACAAGACTGCAAACACATTGTTTATCTTATGCAGGAAATGTTCTAAGGTCACCTTTTGTCAAACCATTTGCCCCTGGGCGGGCTGTTAAGCAAGGTAGCAATTAGCATATGAAGAAGCACAGTCTGGCCTATTAGCATGGAGTCACTTTAGCTTATTCAAGTCTTACAGTCTCATAGTTTGTAGAAGTTTCAGTCCATAGGAGGCTGGCTCCAAGGCAGGGTGTCATGGCAGAGCAGCATCAAAGAGAAGAAACAGTTCTTGGCAGGCAGAAGACAGCAAAAGCAGTCAAACAACAAGCGACCAGTCTCTTTCCCTTATATCTTATCCAGGATCCTTCAGATGGGTAACACGCATACTCTTATCCCGGTGCCCGTCATCCTAACATTTCACCGTAAATTAATCCCAGTGTCACACGCTCTAGATCCAGCCAGCTCTGAAATGCCCCACCTATGGCTGTGTGAGGCTTTCGGGGGACAACTAAACACAGCCATAATATTCACAATGTTAGCACTAGGTGTCAGCACCAGGTATAACAAGATCTGTTGCTAAAAGTTTCTGATGCCCACTAGAATGAGAAAGAGTTTCAGTCTGCCTCATTGACTTATGGCTCCTGCTACAGTCTGTGAGGAAGCCTGGTCTTTGTCAGCACTGGTCCCAGGGAACTTCATACCATGAGGGAATGGTGTGTGGCTGGGCTGGCCTATAAACACCAGCCACAGGAGACAATTGAGCATTTGAAGTATCGGAAGCTAGACAGAGAAATGTAATTTTAAATTTTATTAAATATTCATTAGGTTAAACTTAGATGTCCACATTCCTAATGGCAACCATATTAGAAAACACAGCTTGCTGTTTGTACATGTTCTCAACTCGAACTTATTTCTTCATTCCAAAGAGAATTCTGCAAGACCTGTGGGGGAAGGAAAAGCCACCTCCTTGTACACAGGTTCGCATCAGCTCTATTTCCATCCTTCTGGAATTGTTGGCCGCTTCACCTCCACCTGTAGATCCAATATTGGAGCTTCTCAGGAAAAGTCATGACCTCATCCAGTAGAATCAAAATGATGAAATCGATGGCTACTTGCTCCATCTGCCTAAACCTCATGACAGAGCCAGTGAGCATCAACTGTGGACACAGCTACTGCCAGATGTGCATGGAGGAGTACCTTTCCCAGACACCCAGAAGTCAGGGGCAGAGGATGTTCTTCTGTCCTCTGTGTCGGACCTCATTTCATATAGATGACCTCCGGTCTAATAAACAGCTGGGAAATCTCATAGAGCTCATCAAGGAGATGGAGGTTACAGAGGATGAACCCGTATGTGAGGCCCATGGTGAGCAGCTCCAGCTCTTCTGTGAAGATGACGGCCAGCTCATCTGCTGGCGCTGTGAGCGGGCATCAGAGCACCAAGGACACGCCACAGAACTAGTGGAAGACGTGTGCCAGGGCTATAAGGTGAGTGTGCCCTCGGCAGGGCCTCAGCAAGGCTGAGGCAGGGGCCAGCCACATAGTGCTTGCAAGACCTGAGCATATTAACCCCAGATCCTAAGGTGATGACCTGGAAGCACAGCTTTTAGCCTAGTATTCTTCTGGAATATCTTTTGTGATGGATCTCTGCTGATTGCAGTCCAAACCATCCATCCTGACATTCAGCAAGATGGTCAGACTCCTGTCCCTGTCCTCTTTGTTACCATGGCCTTCTCTCTGCTCTGGGAAATGCTCGACCAAACAAACACCTGCATATATTGTTGCTTCATGCTTTGTACTGCTGGTAAACACAATAAATTAATCTCTGCAATTGGATCTGAAAAGGGAAGGAACAAAGATCCAACTCTGTAGCTATCTTAAAGTTCAGTAGAGAAGATAAATCATCAAAATGCTAGCTAGAGCCAGGGGGTTGGGTGGTGAGGGGGTGAAAGGAGAGATTGGTACATTCCAGAGATGGCTCCTGAAGACACATAGACTTAGTCTTTGCAGGGCATCCAGGCAGAGAGAACTGCCCCAATAAAGGCAAAGCCACTGAGGCTGCAGCCTCACCGTGACCAGGCCACAGGTCCTGTGCAGTGGACAGAAAGGTAGAAAGAGTGGAAAGGGAGCCAAGCCACAGGATCTGAGAGTCAGCTTCTAATCCAAATCCTAGGGAACTTTCCACTGGGCATTGAAAAAAGTCACCCAGGTACTCCCAAAATAAAAGGAATATCAAAGAATAAAATTTGTATTATCCCTCTAAGATAGGGAAGTAGCAAGAAGTTTTAAACTGGGTTCCAGAGGAAGAGTTGCAAATTTGCAAATGATTAGTATGTGGGGTCCCAGAGAGGGAGACGTTCTAGGCAATTCCTATGCATGCACCTTCAGAGAGAGAACTTGTAATGAATGAGCCTGTGCATTGATGAAGGAAGGGTCTGGCTTAGTCCTGCTACCCCAACTCTTGATTTATGCTGAGGCTTAGGATCATGTGCACAGTGTGAGCTTCGGGTTCATCCTTCATGATGCAGACCTGGGCTCCTATGGAGGTTCCACGACCTTTCTAAGGTCACATCATGCTCAGCATATGGGGCACTCCTTAGACTCCATGGAGCTGGTTGAGTTTCTCTCCAACCAACCAGCTGTGCAAGACTGTGTTTCTTATCTTCAGAGGCTGACAGCTGAGGTTGAAATCTTAGGTCTGGCCCTTGATCTATTGACATTTTGGCGTCAGTTATTTAATGTTTTAATTCCTTGGTTTTCACATCTATAAATGGAAATAAAAGAAGTCTGTCCCATCCCTCTGAAACACATATATCTAGGGATTTACATTAAAATATGTAAAAGTTAGAATACCTTTTGGCATATAGCCAGGGCAATGTGGCTTTACCCAATTAGTTGGATGGAACCCTTTCCTGACAGTGTTACAGAATCCATTAAAGTATTTACTGGGTTTGGAGAGGACAGGAGCCGATTTTTTACTATTTAGGAAAATGAACAGTTTTTACCATCATCACATCGCTTTCAAGGAAAGTATGAAAAACATTTTGAAAACTAACCTAAAAACCTTGTCAGGTATGATAAGTCCTTTTAAATTGGCTTCATGTCACCATTCTTCAAAATGAAACAATTAATTGTATTGTTTCTAATAACTTCAGCTGGCAGCCTGGTCTTTCCTTTCTAACCCACAATATACACAGAGTTCCAGGTATGTCAGTGGAATTTGTTATGTTTGTGCAGCACATTGTTCTATAAGATCTTGTTTTTAATGTTTACCATATCTGGCCACTTGGTGGGTGAGGGGGGAACATGCCTACACCTTTGTCGGCACAGATAAGAATCCCAGTGCCACTACCTACCATCTACACCCTCTTGGGTGTCTTACTGAAACCCTTCCAAGCCTCACTGCCACAGTGGAGAGAGGAAGTTGAAAATCCTACCAGCTTCTCCAGTTGCTGATCAGATTAATGTTACCTGACATACAGCACTCAGCAGTCTCCTTAGAAAAGTGTAACAACTCAATAAATATTTACAGTAATCTTAACATATCTTGGACTGCTGAGATTCCTATTAGAGTCTAACGAACAATCATATTGAAGAGACATTCTTCCTTCAATTTTTCCCTCAGGAAAAGCTCCAGAACGCTGTGACAAAATTGAGTCAATTCCAAGAAGAATACGTGAATCAGAAAGCATTCATGGAAATGCAGAAAATTGAATGGAAGGTGAGAATCTGACTTCATTGATCTCCAGCTGTTTTCAGTTCTAGAGTTTAAACACAGAAGATGACAAAGCAGAATCCCAGTTTATTCTCACTGCACCAGATTTCAAAGATAAAATCCAACATGCAGGATCTGGCTCTTGGCCGAATGAGTGCAGAAACTGTCTTTGAGAACTTTCAGAAAATAGGGGCTCTCAAGGTTTGGGTCATCAGGAACAATTTGAGAAAGAATGCTGTAGCTGTTTCATGAGCATGCACACTTGCACCTGCAGGCCTAAAGCTTCCAGACCATTTCCATGGTTCACCAGGCTTCACATTGTCAAAGACATATTCCTTTTGTGGAAATCTCTTTGGAATCCATGAGCTAGCAGCCCAAGTCAACAAACCATTAAGTCACTCTGCCTTTTTCAGGTCTTTTTCACCCTTTGCCTTTTTTGCATGTGAATGTTAAACTTAGGCTTCCAGATAATGTTGTTATAGCCCACATTTCTGGGATCTTGGGCAGGGGAAAACCTTGAGTGTAGCTAAAACATCAGTGGAAGGGGTGAGCCTGCACCAGTTTTCATCACAGAACTTCTACTCCATCCTTAATCGGTGACCTTCTATCATGACATCATGGTCATGGGAGCAAGGCAAAAATTTGGAAAGCATTCTTGGAAATTGTGAGTCTGTATTCCTCAAATGAAACTGACATCCAATAGCATACATCATTACTTCCTGGTATCTTAACCATAGGGATGACTAAGATGACCTGGGTAGTAGATGAGGTTTTCTCAATTAACCATAACAAAATTTGCCTCAGTGAGTCTTCCACCTGTCAAGAAGAATCAAAGACTCTCTTATAGCATCTGTGCTTAGAAGAAAGTTAATTGGGTGACTACAGAGAAGATAGGGTCAGTATTATCAGCTTCTCTGTTCGAGCAGGAACCTTTAAGACATTCTTCCAGCTTGAATGACGCATTAAACAATTATATCACAAGTGGTAACTGATCACACTTTCTTTTTTTGTGGGTGGTAGAATTTGCGTTACATAAAATTTGCCATTTTTACCATTTGAAGTGTACAACTCACAGGCAATAAGTGTAGCTGTAACCACCAAATCCACTCCAAGAAGTAATTTTATCTTCCGAAGTAACATTCTACTCCCATTAAACACTAATTCCTTATTCTTTCTTTTCTACTACCACTTAGCAGCCACTATTCCGCTTTCTGTCTCTATGAACTGAATGACGGTGGCTTCCTGATATGTCAAATGTACAATATCTATCTCTTTGTTTTGGGTTTATTTCACTCAGCAAAAAGTATTCAATTTTTATCCTTGTAGCATGGGTAAGACTTTCATTCTTTTTAAAGACTGAGAAAGACTCCATTGCATCTACATTGCACATTTTGTTTATACTTTTCATCATACTTTCTTGGCTCTAGGATGAGATAGAAACTCGGAGGCAAAAAATCAAGTCTGATTTTAAGAATCTCCGCACGTTTCTACATAAGGAAGAGAAATCCTATCTCTGGAGGCTGGAGAAGGAAGAAGAGCAGATGCTGAGCAGACTGAGGGAGAGTGAGGCCAACCTGCAGCAGAGGAGCGATGAGCTCAAGAATCACATCCTGGAACTGGAGGCAAAATGCCATAGCTCGGCCCAGAAAGTACTAGAGGTAAGGCTATTGATTTGAGACGGGAAGAAAGATTCTGATAAGGAGCTGTTAAGCGTGGAATGGTCAGAAAGCATAGGAAGATTGTTAAGCCTGCTTTCTGTTGAACATAGGTATCAGTGTAGAGTTTTTAATCTTTCCCTTACCTTGTATATCAGTATCATCAATTTGGCTCCTTTGCTTGATATGTTGACCTTATGAGAATTACAAAACCTACTTCCTCTGGGTGAACAAAGAGTGGCCAAAGGGAACCATGGGATAACTCTGGAAATCATTTTTTCTTTATTTCATTGGCACAGATCCCTCACCGTCAGACTTTCTCCAAAAATACTCTTCCAGTGGCAGATGGTAGCAAGGGGGCAGCCTAAAGCAAGGATAGCTTTTTCCTTGATTTACTGGTAAAATCCTTGCTCCAGAGCTACTGTGGGTTCTTACAGCTGTAGAAATGGATGCATCCAATTAAGATGAACTGCTGGAGCTGTTGTTTATTCTGGGGGTCACACTCTAGGTGAAGTGCAGCACATCTGCTGCATCACCCTGTGATACCAGCTGCCATCATCGGTGGGGCTCATTCTCAGGAGCTGTGTATGCAGTCACCACGCAGGAGCTTGGTGACAAGGGATCTCTACATGGGCTCACTTAGGTCCCTGAGAACCAGTTGTGCCAGAGGGAGGAGCAAAGCTCCTGCTCATGGCCCCATGGACCACAGGCTGATGCCACTGTGGCCATTGCTCTTCCCCCACAGGCTACTTCAGGGAGGTTACAGCCTCCTGCTGAGTGGGAAGAAGCCAGCGGGATCATTGCTCCTGACTGCAGCAGTGTCTCAGGCTGAGTCACTCTCTTTCTTTGGGAGTTGTGTTTATAGACAAGTGTTTCTCGTGCTACAGCCCATGGAATCCTGATGCTAACACACTCACCTTTTGTTTGTGTTCCTTATAGGATGTGAAAGGCACCTTGAGCAGGTGAGTCTGTTGTGAACCCAGGAAGGGAGGGTCCAGGTAGGCAGAGATGAATGGAGAGGTCCACTGAGGAGTCACTGCTTCTGCTTTTTCCAGGACTTGTGCTGTGAAGCTGGAAGCACCCGAGGTCTTTTCCTTGGAGGTTCAGACTGCATGTGATGTTGCTGAGCTTTACTTGGATGTGAAGATGATGTTAAGACGCCATCAAGGTATAAGAGGACAGGGCTACCTCAGTGCTGTGATGGGAGGGACCACGTCAGCACAGCACCACTGTCCCAGGCAGAAGGAGCAGATGTTGTGAAGTCATATTCAGCAGAGCTGTTTATCACTCTCCCTATTTTGTGTTCTATGCTGAGTTTCTGCTGCATCCTGGTCATCCCTGGGGACCTTCTAGGTCCTGCAGTCCCTTGTGGTGGTCTTATTACCCTAGGGCACTCCTGTTACTCAAATCAGCCAGCTGACAAATGATTGTATTCACAGTTACCCAAGTCACTGAGTTGTCATGAAAATTAACTATATTAAGGCAGAAACTTTTCATCAGGATGTCACTGAAGTTTCCCTTCCAGGTGGGACCTCCTGGGTTCAATCCCCAGTACTGCAAGGAAAAAATAAAATAGAGAGAGACCAAGAGAGGGACAGATACACACACACACACACACACACACACACACACACACACAGAGGTAAAAGGAAATATGTAAGCTGGTATGAGTTCTATCACATGACTAGGGCCACCGCATCTTATTAGATCTGTTTACATTCTACTTATGATATTTCAGATTTGTTAAGCAATTAAATAAAGTTTAGTAAATATTGTGGATTATGGCTCAAATGATTTTAGGGAGTTGACTCAGATAACACAGGTAAATATTAGAACTATGACTGAAGGTTATCCAAAATCTAAACTTATGCCCTTGCCTCTCTTAATCAGTGCTTGCTATATTTCTAAAAGTGTTTATCAATAGTTATGAATACTTTTAAAAAGCTATAAAAGTGAAAAGGTGTTTTTTGTTTGTTTTTTTTACTTTTGAATGCAAAATTTTGCCTAACTTAAAATGATTTGGTGGCTGCATGAGTTATATATTGCCACCCACAAATTACCAAAATATAGGGCTTCAGCAATACAAATATATTATCTCACAGTCTTTGTAAGTCAGGAATCTGGGCATAGCTTGGGGCACCCTCTGCTTAGGATGAGTGGAGCAGAATGCAATGAAGGTGTGGCCAGGCTGTGTTCTCATTCGGACACTCACCTGGGGAATGTCTCCTCCCACACTCAGGTTACTGGCAGCATTCATTCCTCTCGGGCTGCAGTATGTGGAGCTCTGGCTTCTTTCTGGTTGTGGCTGTGGGTTGTTGTCAGCTTCCAGAAACCTCCCAATAGCTCCTTGCATGGCCAATTTTGCCAGCAGTGTGAATTCAGGAGAATGAGTCTCCATAGCAACTCTGTTGACGAGATCGTGTGTAAATAGTGAAACTTAATTACAGGAGTTACTTCTTATCAACTTTTCCATGTTCTGTTGTTCAGAAAGAATTCTCAGGCCCTGTGCACACTTAAACAGGAGGAATTTCACAAGGATATGCACACTTAAAACTGTGCTTCATGTTTAGTGCTTATATCTGTATTTGTTTACATTTTTTAAAATCTTACTGAGTTTATTGGTACTTACATTCATTGGGATCTTGTACCCTTATATGACAGATTTTGGTTCTCATTTTTTCCCTAATACCCCTGCCTTCCCTTCACCCTCTCTACCCTTCCCTATTATTTATATTTTGACAGAAGATATGCATAGAGATTCAATATCAAATGCTCATAGTTTACAGTATAATGCAAGTTTCTTTCCTTTTTTCATTGTTTTTGCATATAGTGATACGTAATAAAAATTTGGACTACAGTTCTCAAAGTTTGATAGAAAAATCACTGGCTTTTTCTAGGTATACATTTTATACACACACACACTCACACTTATAAACACACACACCATTGGAAACAAAGCAGTTAGGTTGATTTTGTAGTTCTTGATCCTTAGTGATTGTGAAACATTCTGAATACATGGATTTCAGTTATTTTGGTTGATAGCTTTCTTTAAGTTATATCACTGAATCTGAGATTATCAGTAATATAAAGTTAAACTTTTTTAGTATTTAATTTCTCTTTCATGTAATATTCATATGAAGTTCTTACAGGTGGATGTTTCTACTAGTCACTTTTCCTGGTGCTGGACACCATACCCAACACCCACAACTTAAAGGAGCAAAGGGTTAACTTAGCTTAAAGTTTTAGGAGACACAATCGAGTGTCTCCAGGGCAGAAGCACTTTGGTGGAGGGATGTGGTGGAAGGAGCAGAGTTACTTAGTTCATGCCAGCCAGGGAGCAGAGCAGGTGGACAGCACCAGAGAGGAAAGGGCCAGGGACCATATAGTACCCAAGGTCACACCTCCACGGCCCACCCAGACATGCCCAGGAGCGTGTTTTACTAATTTACTGGACAATTCTTTAGCCATGTAAGTAGACAAATCAAGATTAATGATCGCAATGTTTCTGCCCATTTTCACGTTTGTTTTTATTTTCTTTGTGAAATGTATTATTGTGTAGGTTGTAAAATACATGTGTGTTTTAATTTAAAAATGCCTTTCTCCTTAATCTGGTGTACAGAAATCACTATATTTAGAGAAAATAATGTTTTACAGATTAAAAATATGTGTCTTATTTTGACACATGCATAAGCATGATTGGGAAAGTCACTAGTTTTTTAGGAATCACTTTTGTTCTATTTGAATTTTTCCTATACTTGTGAGATAGTATTTAAAATTACCACTAAGAACAGTGTCGTGAAATCTAGAGAGAAAATAGTAAATTGGGGACAATTATTTCTGAGATTGAAAGCAGAGGAATTTTGCCTGTACTGAGTAATGGTCGTATAAGAGCAGCATTTCCACTCTTCAAGCACTGAAAAGAGCACACAAAGCCAGAGACCGCACTCTCATGGAGACAGGCAGTTTCTCTCCTGCTAAAGTGGCTGCCAGGGGAAAAATGATCTGAAATACAAAATGCAGTGTTGGCTCTGTTCTGTAAGCTGTGCCACAAGTATGCATAATGTAACTAGTACCGATCACAGTTTAATTGCTTCATTGATTTTATTTTAAAAAGGAAGTCTGAATGTCAGAAAATCTGTAATGTTTTATTTGAAAGATGCCAAGTAGTAAGGACAGATTTGTATGTGATATGCCAGGAAGTATTTACATTTTAGGTTTTTTTAAAAGTTGAAATGAATGTTTATAAGAAAAAACAGTTATGTTCAGCCATGAATCTTGAAAAAACAGAAACAAACACAAAAAATAGACAAACTAAAACAAGGATGTGAACACTGACATTCCAGAGATAGGTCTAGAATCTGTCTCCTCCAGTGACTAAGTATGAATTGCACTTTGTGAGGTTCTTTGAATTCTTGCTTTATTCCACATACTTTGAATCTCCCTATGGCTGCAGAATAGGCGATGCTTTGGCCACATGATTCTGCCTTAAACCCTGCAAGGAGGAGATGTACTTTAGAAACCAGGACCTTGAAGTGAAAGTGCTCATGTTTTAGACTCACGTCTTAATGTTCCTAGACCCCAAGGAGCATGAGATTGTCCCTCTTGGTTTTCTAGCAGCAGGAGAACTCCCACTGTTCCACATATCCCTTATTTGCTGTGTATAATTTCTAATTTTTGCCTATCCAATGGCTTTGCATTGACACTTCATCTTGCACTTGATTTCAGTTTCTTCAGTTTCACTAGTTGATTGATATTTGCTTGCTATTGCTATCAAGCCATGAAGCTTCTGTACTTTATCCCTGATTTTTCTGTGGTTTAGGAAATTTTATTGGGTTCTTTCTTTATTCATTCCTAGAAGCTTATTATATGTAATATCTTCTGATATGTGAGTGGTGTTCCTTTCATTATGTTTTTGTTAAAGCTTCAAGTTTAGGGTAGGTATAATTTTCTTTGAAGTTTGACTTGTTTCCAAAGAGCTCAGTCATCAGTAAGCACTGACTTTTATTCCTGAGTTTGTTGTATTCATTGATAGCACCCTGTGGATTCTTTCCTGTGACCCAGAGTATGATGATTTAACAACTTATTTTCTAATTGTAAGCCCCCATTGTGTTCTCAGGATAAATGAAATTTATGAATACCTATTATATATGCATTACATATAACATACAGATTCTACACCCTAGCCCGAAGGTAACATGCAAATCTTTATTGTGGTGCAGTCATGTTGTCAGATGAGAGATGGTTATCTGAGGTAGTTATCATAAATGTCACACTTTGGGCAAAGAGGAATCCTGACAATCATAAAAGTAGGTAAAGAAAATTTAGCTGCCAGTTGTAGTCTGAGAGCATTATGATCATAATTATGGTGATGATGGCAACAGTTTCTAGGTAGGCGGAGAGATCCTTACACATCAGACCTGCTCATGTAGAAAGTGAGGCCATACATTTTAATAAAGTTCCATAAACACATTCTTGTTCTTTTACTTACCCAGTGCTCCACATTTTCTGTTATGACACATTGTTTGCACAGCTTGATTCAGTCTTGTTGATAACAAAACCATCCAATCAGTCTTTTTATTTATATATGAAGACAGAGAAGTCTATATCTTTGACAATATGCCAAATATTGAACCAAACTTTCATACATCTGAAATGCAGAAGGATTATATGCCTTTGGTAAAGTGTATTATATACTGTACATTACAAATAACATTAATACGGAAAAGACTGGCTTTTAGGCACTTTTGGTGACACAGGCCTATAGTCCTGGCACTAAGGAGACTGAGGAAAGAAGATCACAAGATTGAGGTCAGCCTGGGCTATACAGTGAGATTTTGTACCCAAAACAAAACATTGGCTTTTAGTTATATGGACATATAAAATGTTGAACATATATTTTGTATTATGAACACACATTAAATATACATATAATGTTATACAAATATAATGTGTATACATGAATGCATATTAAATGCATATGTATATTAAAAATTTGATTTCTCGGTTAAACTGTTTTGTACACACTTTCTTCTTGCATGTCGCTGTGGTTGCGAAGTGGAGATAGGGAAGGGCTCCCTTTGCCTCCTCTGTTCCCTGATTTCTGAGGGTTTACAGGCCAAAGTAATGGCTTTGGACAGAGCAGAAACCATCTTCGTTCTAGTCCTTGGTGTCTCTGAGATAGTAAATGGGGATGATGAGCACAAAGTTATGGAGGATATTATTCTTATGGCACCATATTGGAAGCTTACTGTGTCCAAAGAATTTTACTAAACACAAGGGAAACATTAGCTTACTGGATTCTCCTTACCATTTTCTGCAACACATATGGTAATTTTCACTTTATTCTTAGCTTATATACCTAGTAAGAAACAAATGATTGAATTTGGACATGGGCTGTTTTTAATTGAATTGTTTTCTCAGTGACAAAAATCCACATGGTTTTCATTGCTTGTGTCTTTGCTTCATGCTGGTTGGTTTTTGCAGTTGGCGTGACTCTGGATCCAAATACAGCTCATCCTCACCTATTTGTGTCTAAGGATCGGAGACAAGTGTCTCGTGGATGCAGCCAGCAGAATCTTGAATTTTCTCCCAGGAGATTTACTGCCTTCCCCTGTGTCTTGGGTTGTGAGGGCTTCACCTCAGGAAAACACTACTTCGAAGTGGACGTTGGAGAAGGCACGGCTTGGGATGTGGGAGTTTGTATGGAAAATGTGCAGAGAGGCCTTGGTGTGAAACAGGAACCTGAGTTTGGATTCTGGGCCATCCGGCTGTGCACAGAGAACGGTTATGTAGCACTGACTTCTCCTCCAACTGCCCTTGAGCTGCATGAGCATCCCCTGGTGGTGGGGGTTGTTCTGGACTATGAAGCTGGAGCTGTGTCCTTTTACAACATGACTGCTGGCTCCCACATCTTCACCTTCCCCAAAGCGTCCTTCTCTGATACTCTGCGGCCTTATTTCCAGGTTTATCAGTATTCACCTTTGTTCCTGCCTTCATGTAGTGAGTAAGCATAGAAGAAAAGTCTTATTCTAAGCAGACAGAAAATATTCAGAGCCGATAAAGGCAGAAATTTGGTCAGTTTTCTTCACTACTATTTCTTCAGTACCTGGAACAGGGATGGACTTTTAGAAGATATTTAAGAAACCTATATTGAATTAAAAGCTATAAAGACTGGAAAAATGCAACAGATGGTCAGCCGGACTGAGAGGAAAGTAAGATAGTGACGATCTGACATTGTCCTCTGAATCTCTCTCCACTGGGTTCAGTTCTCTGATTTCTGGTAGGCATTTGTTAATGATTTGGGTAACCTTGAGGCTAAGAGGTCTGTATTCCTTCACCTTTTATTTGAGCCATTTGGACTCATGTGGGAAATGAAGGAAAGACACTCCAGAAAAGAGCAAGAAAATCCAAATAGCAGTGGCTTCCCAACCACTGACATGTTGATTAATAATGTCCACTGCAATCCTAGAGTCTGCCAGACCTAGTGAGCTTCCCTGGAAATCACTAAGTAATGTGGGAGAAGAGAAAAACTCCATTTACCAAGAGATGCTTCAAGTGGAAAATGGAATGTGATTAAATAATTGATTTTCATAGGGGACTTAGTTCTCGTAAAGACAAAGAAGTTGGCATTTTCTGGATTGTGCTACAGCTACCTGTTTTGAAATATATTTAAATTTCAGAAAATAGTATTTACTGAATGATTATCGGGAGTCTTTGCTATGACTCAGATATGGCAAAATAGTACTTAACCCAATATTAGGTTTATTGTGAAAACTGAATCAGTTTTATGTGGTCATACATGAGTGGGCTAATGACAGGACCATAGTGAAGTTGACCAAAGGACAATCAGTGTTAGTATTGATGACTGATGTACAAAGTCACTAAATATTACAGTAATTTGTTGCTAATATAAAATTGCAGTTTGCTTATATTGTTGAAGCCCTCTGCTGACATCTCTGTAAAAACAGAAGAAATGAAGCCAGAGGTGCTTCTGGATGTCAGAGGCATGCTGGGGCTCCATCTCTGCCCAAAGAAACTTAGCAGAATTTGTAAATATTTCCCACTTTTCAGAAAGGAGAAGATGATAATCATCAGAGACTCCAGCTTGGAGTGAGGATCAGAGGAAACTTCATTACAAACCTTGTGAAAAGCAGTCTTTATCTATCATTAGCTTTCATATATATTTGTCCTCCCACAATTTGTCATCCTAGAAACAGAGTCCTTTTTTTGCCTGCTTCTCTTATCATTGTATTTTCTTTTGTTAAAATGCTCTGTAGCCCAACTTCTAGCCCTTGCATTACTTATCCCTTGAGCATTATCTGGTTTGATGCACATACTAATAAATTTCTGTTTGATGTTCTCTTGTTATATATGTTCTGTTTGTCTAGTTTATAGTTGCTCACATGGAGAACAACAAAAGTACCAATCTTATTTGTTTTCTGTCCCCATAATTCTAGCATCCTGGCCCCATTTTATATAAGGGGCTGCCCAACCACCTGCTAGGATATGACAAAGATAAAAGAGATGAAGTTTTTAATGGGGGGGGGCTGATCTTAGCTCTTTCAAGGCTAAGACTACGAGGCTCAAACTAGTCAGTATTTACTGATTACACAACATAGCAGAGGGTGTAAAGTCTAAGGACTTGACCACCAAGCCAAGAGCCTTTTCTCCACAGTGTGTAGGATAGAGCTGTGGGTCCCAGGATGGGGGCAGGCCATTAGTCACTCCTGTTTCTTATCCTGGGTCGGGGAAACCTGGTGTTGAAAAATACCGTAGTCTTGCAGAAGGGCAATGAGGAGGGAAAGGAGACCCAGCATAGGACAGAGAGGAGTTGGAGGCTTAGGAGGATGTCCTGATACCAAGGAGTCCACTCTGTGCACTTCCTCTTTTCACCCCATCAGAGCAGTGACAAAACCACAAGTTACCTAGAAGGAACTAAAAATACCACAGGTCAGGAGGCTGTGGACTCCAGGAGAGTTGAGCTCAGAAAGAGAAAGATCGCTCATCTGAGAGGTGAGCCGACCCTCCGCAGGCCTCCTACTCCTCTCTGCCCTGTGCTGGAGTTACAGGGAGTTTCCTGGGTTATTAATGTGTTCCCAGTGTCTGTTGCTTAAAAGAGACCGTTTCTGATATGTTCTCCCTCTCTCAGGATAATCTGTGTGCCGAGGACATGAGTATCCTCTGGCCTGAGTCTATGACTCCACGTCCTGACGCAGATTCATTTCTCAAGTCTGCTGTAACTGACTGCCTCCGCGGAGGAAGCGGCACCTCGGAGAGGACTGACAGCGGATTGGTGAATGTCTTCCTAAAATTCCAAATAATGCAAATAATAGTCATCTGGGAAGAGGGTGGTGAAGCGGGGGTTGGAGAGGTTTACTGACACAACGGTGCACTGCTCTCTACCTCAGCAAATACCAGGGAATCTGCTCACAGTTCTCACCCTTTGTGTGTTGTGGCTTTCATCAGAATCCACACAGCATCTCGGAAGATAGAGAATATAAAGTGAATGAGCCCCAGAATGGCACCTGGGTGCTGAAATAAAGGGGTCCAGTCCCCAGGAGTCCAGTCCCTCAGTGTACTCCCGGGGGAGGTGGCTACTAAAGAATAGGAGCCTGCAGAAAAATGTGGCCCCAAGAAACTGATGCTGGTTATGAGAGGAAAAGAACCTATCTGGCAACTTTGGTTGAATTCTTGGGGTTTTTTTATGTAAGTGAATTATTTATTTATTTTGGGTATGAAGATTGAACCCAGGGCACACTGAGCTACATTCCCCACCCTTTATGTAAAAATGTATGTAAATAAAGTATGTGTATATACATGTGTGTATGTGTGTGTAAGTATGTGTGTGTATGTATATATGTTTTTATTTTTAGATGGAATCTTCCCTAAGGCAGCAATTTGACCAGGTTGGGTTGGAACTTGGAAGATTCTTCTTTCTCAGCCTCTCTTAGTGATGAGATTAAAAGTATAGACCACTAAGCCTGGCTGAATTCCTGTTTTTAAAACCAGATTCTGCCATTTAAGCAGAAAATCCACCATCTAAACTTTATCCCATCTTGTTCCCCTCCCAGAAAAGCTCCCTGGCGTGGACATAGGAGAGAATAGGGGTGATTTCCCAGATGCCTCTCCTGATAGAAACAGGTACAGATACGGCTCCTGCCGCCTCCTCATAGCATCTGGTTGGAAGTTTCTCAGGAGTGGACACAAGGGTGCCCAGCACCGCACGGCCCACGAAGGCCTGATCCCTATCTCCTTTCTATGTACCCTGTGTCCTGGGCTCTGTCCCCTCCCTGTGTTCCCATCACCTGTGCTTCTCCTCAAGGAAACCCTTGCCTGGAAAAGGCAGTAAACTCGATGGTTCTCTAGTACACTATATCCCCAGGAATAATGGGGGTCTCAGGGCCAACCTCTCCTACCGCAGCCTCTCTTTTCCTCAGCTCAGGGAGGGAACACAGAATAAACCAAGAGTCTTTGATGTCTTAGTTACTTTTGTCCCTTACTGGTTGAATCTCACCGAGACATTATAAATCAGACGTCTTGTGTGGGGTGGGGGTCATTGTGAAGGTGAGGAATAATTTGCTGCCTCAGTGGCATCCTCCATAGACAACCCAATTGGCTGAGGGTCACCACAACTTGTAAAGTGATAATTCTGGTTCTAATTGTTCTTGATGCTCATTAGAGTGGGAAGGAGTTGTATGCTCCCTCACTAAATTGTGGTTCCTACTCCGGGCAGCACAGTGATGGAATGTTCTATGGCTGGCCTGCCGTATCAACACCAGCTACAGGGATATACTGGGCAGTTGAAGAATGGATAGCAAAACGGAGATCCTGGAGTTTAAAATTTATTAAATATTCATTAAGTTATATTTAAATGGCCATGAAAGGCATTGACAACACAGCTAGACATTTGTAAACTCTGTTGTAAACTCTGACCATTTCATCCTTTTAGAGAGGTCTATATGACTTGTGAAGGGCATGTACACAGGCTCAAGAAAGCTGTATTTCCACCCCTTTGGAAATTCTAGATGCTTCATCTCCACCTCTAGATCCAATATTGAAAATTTTCAGGAGAAGTCATGACTTTAGCCACTGGCATCAACAAGATAAAATAAGTCGTCACCTGCTCCATCTACCTGAACATGATGACAAACCCAGTGAACATTGGATGTGGTCACTGTTACTGCCAGTTGTGCACAAAGCACTGCCTCTGTGGGGCACAACACAGTCCAGGGAGATGGTAAACTTCTGTCCCCTGGGTTGGGCACCATTTCACATAGACAGCCACTAGGTCAACAAACACCTGGGAAGCCATATTGTGCAAGATTCTGCAGAAGGATCTGGAAATGAAGCAGAAGAAGATGCGCTTCCTGCAGGGACTCTGGAGTCCAGTAGAGACATAGACCAGCAAAATAACTGCTCTCAGTAAAATTTACTTTGAGAACACAAAGGCCAGTTTTGGAATCTATCTCCTCTCCAACCCCGCACTCTCTCAATTTACCTTATCAAAAATTCTAGTTCTGATACAAACCTTTTGCTTTTTCTTTCCAAAAGCAATATGAGTATGCATTCACAATGAAGAAAAAAATACAACTCTTAGTTTTAAAACTATGGAGGGAAAACCCACATACAGCCTCTAAGTCCTGGGTCTGAGAAGTAAAATGCTAAATTCCAACAATGGCTTAGGTGGTGAAAGAGGCTGGAGGCCAACAGTACATCTCAGGAGAGACACATAAACTTAACCTGTATGTGCAAAAGCACAGCGATGGGAGCTCTTGCCACCATGACCAGGCTACAGGGTATTTAAAGAAGACAGGCAGGTAGGGACATGGGAAAGTGTGCTGGGGCCCAGGACCTGAGTATCAGCTCCCAGTCCCCAACCTAGACCACAGAGTCACCTACCCTTGGGGCATTTTCATTTGAGGAATGATGGGTCAGTGACGTTGAAAAATATACCGAGGTATTCTTAAAGTAAAAGGAACATCAACCCACACATCATCTTCTGCCCACTCCCTGACAAAGTATAAGAACAAAAATTCACTGTTATTTTCACACATGTTGGAGTGCTGGTATTCTCCTTATATGTCTAGTGAAGCGTTAAACCGAATAGAGTTTACCCACTTGGGAGACAGCTACGACAAAACTGATTTAACTCCAAGAAAAATGTATGAATCAGAAAGTGTTCATGGCAAATGCAGATACCTCAATTGCAGGCAAGAGTTTGAATTCATTTATCTCAAACTGTGTTCTCTTCTAGAGTTTGGGTACAGGGACTGATTGGGATAAAACATAATGACTGTGTATTTTCAGTAGGCCACAATAGAGAGATGAAGCCCAAAGAAGAAACCTCTGTGTTACACCTTTTTTTATATATATATCCATGAGACTCTATCAGCAATCTCTTCCATCTTCTAACACTAATTGGGGTGTTACTAATAACTCAGTCAGGAATAGCAGAATTGGTGTGATTATCTGCCCAGAAATAACCTTGACTTGCCTTCACATTTTAAATTCATCATCCAGGTATGCAGTCTTCAGCCTTATGATGTCCCATTTACCACAGTGCAGGCAGGGTCTAGCTCTCAAACCCACACGTTCTGAACCTACCTCTGACAGCCATCCACAACCCCCCTTTGAAGCAGAGTTTCTCTAAAACTGTTGATTTGTTTTGCCCTTTTATCTCCTTCTGCCATCACCACCTACCCATCTTCTGCCTCTCACTGGCTCTGTTTTCTTTCAGATTTCTAACATTGATAACCATAAACACTAAGGCAGTCATCCTTCTTACACAATGAATTGGAAAACCTAAGCAAACACTCAAATACACTCAGATGCATCTTCTATAAGTTAGTGTTATGCTTACTTCAAGATATATAAACATTACCAAGATTGATTATGTAAAGGTACAGATTTCCAACAATGAATGTCATTATATTGTATACATTAAATGTATAAATAAAATTAATTAAAAAAGACATATAAACATTGAGTTCTGTGGTGTTTTAGGCAATCTAAATAAGTTCGATAAGCATGAATTTAACATGATCTTTATAATCATGTCACATTTTACAGTCAATTCTGCTTTTACCAGCTGTGTTAAGTGCCTGGGAATGTTGCTTGAGTCATTTCACTGTAATGTTTTTATATGTTCTGAACAAGGGGTAGAGGCATGGTCTTACAGAGCTTTGCAAGTAGACATCCAAGGCTCGGTCCTTTTATGACTATGGTCTGAACAGACACAACCTCAGTCAGATGGGTGGTATGATGAACTAGGATTGAAGCAGGATGGAACTTGCCAGAACACAAACTGGGTAAAAGCTCTTCCAAAAACCATCTTCTGGGAAAGAAATCCAAGAATCTACATTGCCAGGAGATGGCTGGGACCGGTTTCTCTGGTCATCCTAAGATCAGACTGTGGTAAAGCTTTCCATCCTGCTCCATTCTGGTCATGACCTTCTCAGTCAGCTTGCTGATCTTCTGTGACCTCAGACTGGGCACATCTGCAGTGCTGGTGGAGGAAGGAAACTTAGTCTGCCTTATTTACTTCCTGTGTGACCAGATACTGCTGCAATTCTAAGTTTCTTCAGTGTTGTGCTTTTTGAGGAGGCCTCTTCTGGAATTCCTGCTTTTGTAATCAGTCTTCTCCCCATTTCCCACAGTGGCTTCCAGACACTTCCCTCATTACTGTT